CTATAACAATTGAGTTTAATTCCTGATGCTTATCTTTCTGAATGTATGTGAACATCACTTGTATTAAAAAAAAAAAAATAAGTTCAACAATTTAACTTGCAGTTGATGAGGAAAGTGGTGGTTACCTGGTGAATGACATTTTATCTGTTAAAATACAAGCAGATTATTAACTGGACTCTGAGGTTGCTTGCAGACATTAAAGAAATACAAAAAAAATCAGTGTTTTACTTTAAACTCCTCATGTCCCCACACCAAACTCAGTGCATGTCCAGAAGAGGTAATGCATTAGTTGGACCTAGCTCACCCAATGTCTTTATAGATTGGATGCTTTAGTGGGGCTTTTTTGGCGCTTTTGTCTAATAGCTGATTGAATATTAGATAAAAATGCCAAAAAGACCTGATGAAGCAGCTAGTCTGTGTACACGCTGCAGAGCTGGGTCAAAGTAATGTGCTGCTACTTCTGCTAAAGTGCATGCTTTGTTTTGTTTTTGTTTTTTTTTAAAAAAACATCTGCAAGCAGCCTGAATGCCAAGTAAAATTATATCGATTGTGTCTGAGTATTGGAAAGGGCCCCAGTCTTAATCCCCACCCCCTTGCTACCCCCTTCTTCCTCAGAAATTTCCAAGGAATTCTGACAAAAAACATAATAGTATTATTTTAGGAAGTATTGGAATGAAACTATAATAGTTCTGATCTTTAAAAATGGTGATGAGAGATGCAATAGTATATCATCCTGTTAATTTTATGTGTATTCCAGCCAAAATATTTAGACAGTGTTATTTTTTCACCCCACCTACAGGGGTGGGGCAGGGGCAGGAAGCAGAAGCTAGAAAAGAAATGGGAGACTGGAGATCCCACCCCAGCAGCAGCTGGAGTGTTGGGTTCTGGGGAAGTGCCCAGGCTGGAGTCTGCAGGCAGCCAGGTGGGCCATTCTGGGTTAGGAAATGTGTTGACAGTCATTCACCCAGTATTTCATTTTTTTTATTTAAAAATGACAGATTATGCGACCAGATTATGCAGGGAGTAAGATTTTTCTTGAACTTCCTGTTTTTTGAGGTTAAAGCATTTTTTGGTCTAGAAACCTACTTGTCTGCATGCTACAAACAAAAACTAAAAATGAGGTTACACTTCACTTTAATTAAATCTGTATTGATGGGTGGTATTGGACCTGATATTTAGATGGAATATGTTCTTGTAAGGAGAGTAAAATATATGTTTCAAATCACTCTGGAGAATAAAGACCACCACAAGTAAAGGTAAGTGGAAAATGGATATCTCCATTACTGGAAAATGTGAAATGTTGATGAAGAGAAAACAATTTGGCTTCTTTCTAATGACTCAAAGTCTGTCTTATATTCCCTATGTCAGGGATGGGCAAAATACAGCCCACGGGCTTTGACCTGGGCCCTGGCCCCACACTATCACCACCCCATGATAGTGATAGTGGCCCCTGCCCACCTATCCTGTTCCCGGATGCCGCTGCCTGCCCACGGCCCCATCTCATCCACCCAGCCGGGTGCACCCTGATTGCAGGGCCCCATCTGGCTGCTCCATCCGGCAACCCTGGCAGTGGGTGTGAGGTGGACAGGCCCCAGGCTGGCTTGTATCAATTTTACACCCCCCACCCCCCTCTTTTGGGCTGCAACAGCTCACCCAAATTCCTAAAGTGGCCCTCTATCCAAAATAATTACTCACCTCTGCCCAATGCGTATTTGCAATATGTGCCCAAATAATAATGGTCAAAATCAGTTAAAATACCTGTTTTACCTTACTGCTGTATGTCATTTCATTTAATCTGTTTGTTTGTTTTTATATTTTTGTACCATTCTACCTGTTTAATAGTAAAAAACATGGTAAAACTAGTGGAATATATGTTTTTAGCAACACCCATAATTGTATAACTTTTATTATGTGATATAATAAAATGGACAATGAAATAATATATAGTTTTAGTAAAATCTGTATATAAATAAACAAAGAAAAATAAAGGCTTTTCTGACAGTGGATGATAGTTTTAGGAAATGCTGGGTGGCCATTTAGCTTGCTTGTTATGAGCCATGTTCAAATGCATTAACTTGCACATTGATTATAGCTGTTGAAATAGGAGGTACATATACTTATTTTGAGGACAGTTTTCCTGGAATACTGTACATATTGTATGGGGCAAACAAAAGACAAATTTATTTTGTCTCTTAGAAGAATCGTTAAGCTAAGGAAAAGTAATGGATAGATAATATAACTGCATTTGGAGAGAGGAACATACTCCATTAAAGTAGAGTCTTTCTCCAAATCAAAAGTTTAGAGTGAAAAATGATTCATATTGCCATGTGGGTGCTTTGACTACTAGTATGTGGTACATATTTTTTTTAAACTGCAGTATCTTAAAGCTACTCAGTTATTAACATAATCTGGGTAATTTAGTTTTGCATGGTTTTGAGATGTATTATAGCTTTATTCTAGGTACTTTAGTTTGAATACTGATAGCTCTGAAATCAATAGAACAATAAATTATAACTTTATAGATGAACTTAAAGTGTATATGCTGAAGAAAAATAAATTAAAAACTGAAATTGATGTTTTGCTAGATTACTAAAAGTGTTCTTTGCTTTTTCATATGCATGTTTTAAATTTTGGTATGTGTTTTTAAAAAAAGAAATACAAATGCAAAATATTGCTTATAACTTTGGCCTAACAATATTGTCTCCCCACAGAATGTCACACAGAAAATGAAATAAAAGCAAGAGATCCTATCAGATGTCGAGAATGTGGATACAGAATAATGTACAAGAAAAGGACAAAAAGATGTATCCTTTTACAGTCCTCTTATCTCTGGGCGGGTAGAGAAAGATAAAAGTCAGAATAAGAAATTGGGTTGATTTTTATGACTCCGTGCAGGGACAAAAAAAGCTTAAAAATGAAAAATGCATATGAAGAACAACCTGTACATCTCTGCAACCTACAGTATTTTCACTGATAGTGGAGTCATTCCGGATATGTCGATCACTTTTTGTTAATACAAACTACAGTAAACTGTGTCAGCTGTAATCATCTGTAACAGTAAAGACAGATACAAAGTACACTGGGTAATGAGATTGTCATGCATGTTCCAAGTTTTAAGATATAACCCCAATAGTTTGTATTTATAACTAAAAATGAGTTTGGAATTGTGTTCTGTGCCACTCTTATGATCTGCTCTTTTTCATGTTTTCTACTTTTTCTTTAACACTAATTTATAACAGTGGTGGTTTTTGATGCCCGATGATGTGAACCCAAGATGTAGCTGCTTTATCTTAATGCTGAATTATCTCTGATAACTTTTGCTTTATAAGTGTGTGCAGCTACATGTACTTTTCCATCCTGTTACCTGCTGTTATAAGTTATTTGTTTGCAATAAAGTTTTAACATCAGATATTCAGTCTAATGATTTCTATACATATAATGATTTTTATTCAGTAAGCAGGCTTCTAAAACTATTAGACAAGTTTTCAAATGCAAGACGTGCTTCTTCAGGTTCCCGAGGGTGGTACCTGGTGCTGAGCTTTGAGATCTTCTGTTACCTGATAAGCTCTGATCTGCTCTGGTGGGGACCCTGTGACAGGATAAGAGCTTCCAGGTTAGCGTAACTTTGTAGAAGTCCTTGGGGTTCAGTGGAGTTACGTTAGTGCTAAACTTGGCCTCACATCTCCAAGTTATCTGCCCCCTATCCTCTCCCCCCCTCAATCTCTTGAAACTCATAAAGGCAATGTATCTCATCCAATGTACCAAATGCCCAGATGGAAAATACATGGGAGAGACCAAACAACAACTGTGCACCAGAATGAACGCATACTGGAAATCTATCAAAGAGAGGAATACCCAATTACTGGTGGGGGCACATTTCTTGCAAGAAAACCACTCTCTCTCTAATCTCTCAGTTCTGATCCTCAAAGGAAACTTAAAAAAACACTTTCCAGAGATGAGCCTATGAAATCCACTTCATCAACCTCCTGGACACCAAAAATCATGGACTAAATACAGACATTGGATTTATGACACGACCTGCCTGACAGCTGATTTTCCCAGGTACTTCCCGGCCTGTCTCTCACCCATTGACTCCTCAGTCTACATTTTCACTGACTACCTGTCTTGTATGCAGACCAGCCCAGGCTCTGCCTGCTTTACTTTTCATTCTATCCAGGAAGAGCACACACCAACTGCTGAAACTTCCTTAGCCTGACAAAGGGTTTTTGAACCCAAAAGCTTGCTTAAATATTTTTCTCTAACTATTTAGTTGGTCTAATAAGATATCAGATTCACCCAAAAAACCTTGTCTGCCAGTCCTTTGAGGTACTCATAAAGAGAAACTCATAAAGGCACTGGATTGCCATCCTTGATTTCCAAGGTACTGTTTAATGGATTAAGGCAAACACATATGTAATGGTAAAATGCAGTCTGTTAACTACAGACATCATCATTATTGCTTGCTAGGTGTTACTGAGAGGGAAGGTGTAGCTGTAAGTGGTGTAGCCGATGGTCCAGCAATTGAGAGGCAAGGATCCCTTAGGGGGGATATCCATCTTTTATTGGACCAGCTGTATTTGGGATACAGTTAGGCAACGTTTCCAAGGCAAAAGGTATTCTTCCTCAGTTCTCCGATGTAGGAAGGGGGGTGCAACTCAAAACGCTGAGTTTGAATGACTTGAAGTCCTTCACCGCTGTTTTTCAGTGATCAGACCCGCTATTTCTATTGATCGGCATTGGGTGTCTGGGGGCGGGGAAGGGAGGTCACTTGTGGCTGCCTCCTAAGGGCTTTTGGTCGCTCGCTTTCTCTTCCTGCAGCCGAACAAAGCTCTATTTTAGGCGGAAACAGGATTGTTGTCTCCTTCATCTACGCCCCGAAACGGGAGGAGAGGCTGGCTCGGGCTGCCAGTCTCCCACACGGGGCGGTGCCCACTCCTTCAGGCCCCGCCTTGCCCCAACGGTCTGGCCGAGACGCCCGTGCGCATGCGCGCTCTGCTGTGGGCGGGCCCGCGCGGAGACTTGGCGTTCTGGTTGCGGGGCAGCGCGGAGCTCCGCGCAGGTGGGTCGGGCTGGGCACGGGGCCTTACCTCACCCGGCCCTGCTCCGGGTGCATGTGGGGAAGTGTCCCCGGCATGGGGTGCTGTGGCTCGCGGGGCACGATTCCGTCCGTCCCGCGCCTCGGAGGGGGGTCTTCCCCGGGGCTCGCAGCGCCCCTCCCCGCGTCGGGGCGCTGAGTGAGGCGCCATGGCAACCGTTGCTAGGGAAGGTCGCGGCGGGGGGCGGGGCCGCTGTGCTGAGCGCTCCGCGCCCCCGCAGAGGTGGATCCCGGGGGGGAGCTTTGCCTGGTGTCTTTTGGGCATGAGGGGCCTTCCTCAGGGTTTGTAGCAGGAACTAGCTACCGCGTTTCTCAGAAGTTTGTACTGCCGCCACGTTGTCATGGAGGAAAAAGGGAGAGAAAAGCGTCTCCTCTTGCCTCGCATCTGCCCCGAGAGGCTGTGGGTTCTGCCGCGGGAAATATAGGCTGCACTTTACATCAGCGCAGCTCTGAGAAACATTCATGTAAAAAATAAAAAAAGAAAAAGGTTGATCCGCTAGGTAGGCAGGAGAGTCAGTGGTTTTTGTTTTAGTGCAGGGAACGGTTAGGGTAGAAATAGGCATCTTTGTTGGCAAGCTATCGGCTGTGCAGTGGTGTGTCACTGCACAGCTGATCGCACTCTGGAAATGTCTCTGGACATCACTGGTAGCTGCACTCTGATGTGGGGCATATCTGTAAGCAGGGGAGGGGAAATCCCTGCTTGTGAACTTGCTCCTCCTGTTAGGGAGGAAAAAAATCCTCTGCAGGGGATTTCCTTTATGCACCTGCCAGCCTGGAGTGGGGGGAATTGTCCCACAGGGGATCCCCCTCCCCATTTGCAGCCCAGGCCCATGCTATTCCTAGCAACAGCATGCAGTATGGTCTGCAATGGGGAGAGGGACCCCCATAGCTGACTCCCTGCTTCCCTCTGCTTCAGGTGTGCCAGGGGAAATCCCCTGTAAAGGGATTCTCTTGCCCTGCTGGGGGTGCTTTGTATGCAAGAAAGGAACCCCCACTTGCAAGACATGTTCCATGAAGCCCTGACTTTCCTAGTTTACCCAGACATGTCCTTGGAGGGATGCAGCTGGGTGTGCAGGGAAAGTGAGGCAAACACTCCCAGGGCTTGAGGGGGGCAATTCGGTGTGAAAATTCCCAGGATGTGCAGGACTGGGCCCACCAAGCCTGAGGAACCCCTGCCCCAGGGAGACTGCTAGACCCAGGCAGCTTCATGCTGCCTGGGCTCTTCCACCATAAACAAACATGCAGGCAACAATAAAGTTTATTACTGCCCCCCAGTTTGTTACTGCCTTTTGTTGTGGACACAAATTTCAGCTTTTGTGGGACAACCAAAGATATGGGCATCTATTAACTTTCACTTTTTACCACCATAAAAAATTTTATGGTGGTGCAAAGGTTTCCATCCTTAGTGTGGTAATAGTATTGGCAGTGTTAGGGTGATGTAACCATGATGTTCCAAGAATTATGTAAGAGGCAAAGATTTCTTTGAGTGGTATCTCTTATTGGACAATCTGCATAATTGGGATAGAGTTAGGCTTTCAAAATGCAAGAAGTTTGTCTTCAGGTCCCTGGAGGTAGTCCCCAGGGTGTGGAGCTCTGAGATCTATTATGGGATCAGTTTGGGTCAGCTCAGGTGGGAAGGAACCTGTGATGGGACAAGAGTGTTCCACTCTGAAAACAAGCTTTATTAACCAGATATATACACTAAACTAACTAACACAGGTTGTCTTGGTAAGTGCATATAGGAACCCATTGAGCTGGTGGATCTGAGATAGCCAGTTGCTAGGGGTCCTACAAGTCACCCTTTGGTATTGTCAGCTGGCAGTCTCTCTTTGTTCTCACTGTCTTGGGCAGATCAGGTGAGCTGGCAGATCTCATGCAGATTTCTTTTCTGAATGCTTTGCACCCTGTTGTTACCAGGCAGACTTCCCTAACTGCATGGGCAATTTAGTTATATATGAGGCATGGTACTGGCTAGCAGCCTCTAATGGAAGCAACCAGTGGTCAGTGGTTCTCAACCTTTTTAGATTGTCACCCCTCAGTAGACTTCAGGCACTCCTCAGGAAATGCCAGCTCTTAATTTTCACTTGTTTTTTGACTACAGAAAAGTACAATACAACATTTTTTTTGTTGGAGAGAACTGAGAGAGACCACAACAGGTCAGAATGTTTTTAACACTACATTTCTATTTGAACCCTGGCTGAGAATCACTGCAGTAAGCAAAAATCAGTAACACTCTGCAGTTAACCCTCCTTCACCCTAGTCAGGTCTACACTTCTCCACAGGTGAAAAATCTGCAAGATCAAATCTTAAATTTAGCAAATTTGGCAATCCCATCTTTATGGCAATAGGATTGTTTGTATGAGAGAGGATTATGCAGGATTAAGGCAAGACCATTCTCTCAAAATATATTTAGTACCATTTTACACAACAGAATAATTAGGTTTATCTTTCAAAGTTTTAGTTATGAGTGACCAGCCAATGCCATCTATGTTGGACCAAGGATTAACAAAAACATACCAGATTCCTATTGGTCATCTGGACTACAAATTCATTGAGAAATGCACAGATGTGAAACACCTCGAAAAGATTCTGAAGATATTAAGGTAAACATTTGAAATTCTGTTTTTGTTACTTCATTACTGACAACACTGAAAATGTTAATCCACCAAATACATAGAGCATAAGTAGAAGTAGTATCAGCTGCTTCTCGCCGTCCCATCTTCCTACTCTAGTTGTAGCATGGAGGTACCTCCCCCAAAAGAAGGTAGTGATTTCAGGCACGTTTCCTGTTTAATCCTTGGAACATTTGTTGAGAGTGATACATGTCCATGTTTAAACATCCATATTATAAAAAACATCATTGCAATTAGTTTATCTGCTGGAAACTAGTCTCAAACTCATTTTATGTTTGTTACCAGACTGCTGCTAGGTGGTAACAGCTCTCAGTTGCTTGGAAGGAAACTATCCTCCCTGGTTCCTACAGGGAGTGTTTATTTCTGGAGAACACAATATTATTTGTTTCTTGTGCTTAACTTTTAAATTATGTAGATTTTCTGTTTCTGTAAGGTCTGGTGAGGAAGGGTATTACCCCGATCTCACATTATTTTGTGAAAAGCGCATTGAATGTTTAGCTCCTGGGAGCAGAGTCCTTCGAAAAGATAAACCTGCAGCCACTGCGGCTGACTTTACAACTGAAGAATGGGAAGAAATAAATGGTGAAATTAAGGTACAGTATAATTTCAGTCTCTAAGGTACACTACTAGTACTGTGAACTTTATGTTAAATTAATTACTTAGGTGGTGATTGAGCTAGTTTTAGGCCCAATTTATAATTTGGTTAGGGTTCTTTGTTCTCATATTATATGTACAGATTATCAGTGGCCAGTAACTCACTCTCAACCTTTCGTATTAAAACCTGTATAACTGAGCGAGGAAATATTGGCCAGGGGTGTTGGTTGTAGACGTATTGGTCTAAGGGTGTAGGCAGACAAGATTCTTTGGGTAAATCTGATATCTTAGACCCACTACAATAATTGGAAAAATTCTTTGCAAGCTTTTGGGTACAAACACCCTTCTTCAGGCAGAGGGAACATCTGTAGTTGTTTTGTGCTTTTATTTCAACCAGGTAGAGCACAAAACAACTGCAGATGTTCCCTCTGCCTGAAGAAGGATATTTGTACATGAAACCTTGCACAGAAGTGTTTTTTCCCAACTATTTTATTTGGTCTAATAAAAGAGATCAGATTTTCCCAAAGAAATATTGCCCAAGCACTTTGATTGTCCTTTCTTTCATTTGAATAGTGCCACTAGTTCTTTAATTTCTAGCTGAATATAAAGAACCTTTCATTTAGAAGAATTGGAAAGTATTGACATATTATCGTTAGGAAATGCATTGCTCACCATTTAAATCTGACATCTGATTACACTGTGTTACAGCAATATTATACTATAGGATAGAAAATGAGGAATTCCTGAAAATGCAGGGGGAATTTAGCAAGGTAGACAAGCCTTAGGCTTTAATGTTTCTTTGGAAGACAGTATGTTTAATGGTGCTGTGCCTTAGCAGTAACAATTAGATACAAGTCCAAGTCTTAATGTGAAATAAACCTATGATTTTCCTAGCCCAGAGTAGACTGAGTAGTCTATTAAATCATACTAAGGTTGATCCTGACAAGTATCAAGCATTAACAGTAATTTTGAAAAGAGATTCCTTGCATTTATAATAGACATCTAAGTATTTTTTATTATTGCAGTATTTTAAGACAAATTATGGGCAACTTATATTACAATTAGTGTAGTGTCCTAATAATATTCTGCTTTTTATGTTTTGAATTATTTCCACTTCTTGCAAGAAGATTCTCCAAACCCTTTTTAAAGACTCCTTGACTCCTTTCCTATTGTATATTTTCCTTTATTATCTTTCCTTCCTCTGCTTTCAAAAGCCAGCGTTTGTTATGATTGTTGCATCAGCAGAGGAGGGCTGAAAAATGACTCCTACATAAGCCCATCAATTGCTCCTTGAGTTGACCACAGGGCTTGGTAGAAAGTAACCCTTTTGGCCCAAGGAAAAAAGACTAAATTTAGGTTTAAACTGCACAGGACTATGTTTTGTTCATAATAGATTATGTCTTTACTATTTTGAGGTATGGTGATATTATATGTTTCTTTTCAGAGCTGGATGACAGAAATGCAAGAAGATTATAAAATACAGCTTCCTAAAACCCAAATACTTCATGAGAGACTGGACAATTTGCCACCAGTTCGTGGTTCAGATAGCTGTGTTCCTATTGGCCAAGTATTTCACTTTTAAAGATATGCTTAAAAATTTGTTTTACATTTTTAAAATGTCTCTATATTTCTGTGCAATAATAATCAGTATTAACTGAGGTTTTTCTTTACCAGTATTTTGTAAGTAGAAAAAAACTAGTGGAGGGTCTCTTGTATGTGATTAAAGCTAAATTGAAACTGCCTCTTTAATACTGTATTTAATCTCTGCTCATTTTATATCTGCATTAGTACTCCCAGTCTTCTTCCTTTCTTTTTCCCCATAATTCATGATTTCCCCAGAAATCATGTTTAACATGAAGAAGTACATAGTAATATTTTAAGTATCTTCCTATGGATCTGTTTCTTCAGGTTTTTTTTAGTTCTTTGGCTGGCTGATCGGGTACAGTACTTTAGAATGGATTAAGAATAAAATGTGGACTTAAACATTTAATTGGCAATTTAGATGTTATCTGATTCTCATCCAGTATTAGTAAGGTCTGGGACGCTGCTTGGATCAGCTCACTGAAACCATTTCCCTTTTAACAGTGTATGAATTTGTGATTCACATCGATATAATGGGTCTTTAAATGATCCATTGGTTTCTTGTTAATTGCTAGATTGATTAATTGTCTAGGAATGTTTCTATACTAACAAACTATCGTTTATGATTAAAAATTACTCTAACACACATGTGCCTTAAACTTGTGGAGAATTCACAGTAATATGAGTGACAATCCTAGGCAATTTCTTTTATTAAGAGGCTTGTATTGATCAGTGACAACATGGAGTTGATTCATGGCTGCTTTACAAACCTTTTGAAATTTGATATCCAAATACCTGTATAAATTCAGCTAAGCCAACTAAGTAGTGATGTGATCTTTGATAATTTCTGAGTAACAGAATCAGTTCTATTGTATTAGTCCATCTAGGTTCGCCACTGACTATATTAATTCTTCCTGAGTGCCTTACATTACTGTGTTGGTAAAATGACTATTTTTGTCTCATCTCTTCTGAGTGGTTCCAGACCAGAAGATATATCTGGACTTAGAGAATCCAGAAATGGAAATGTTATCATAAGCCTTAACAAGTGACTTAAGCTGTAAACACATTAAAAAATCTGGGCAAATTCTCCCAGGCTTGCTTTTCTTAAGACTTACCCAGACCTACATGTAAAGATGTTCACAAGCTGAGGCCCTGGAGAGTAGGGAGCTCGCAGTGCTGACACCTCTTTGCACATGTCTTAATGTGCTCATCAGAATCTCTCAGTCTGCCTGGCAACAGATGACAGCAGTGCATATGGTAGCTCTGATGGCTGACCTAGACTGTCCATGGTCAGCCTGCATTTCCCTGCAGCACAGTGTGGTGTTTGGGAAGGCAGTGTGTTTTGTGCTCTGCTGAAGCAGCATAGTCCAGTGAATGATACACTGTCTCCCTTGGGGACAGGGAGGTATTGCTGAAGGAGTGTGTTCTCTTTTGAGATAAGCCACAGCATGTACAGGCATTTGCTCTCCCAGGAAAAACTTTATCCCTAGTTATTCCCAAATTATTTTTCCTGAGACAGTCATTTTTACTATGGGAGAAAAAGCTTGAACATCTATGTATTCATGGTTTCTCCTGGGAAAGCAGTGATTCTCCCAGGAGAAACTGAGTGTCTGTATGAGGCCTTAGTCTTCAGCATAGAAAGTATATCAGAAATGGACATGTTCTCCCTTAACGCATTAATAATTTGCATTTGTTCTCCATTTCCCTCTCCCACTATCTAGTACTGTGGGACATACTCTACACATAAAGCATTCTTCCATGCTTTAAGGATATGAATTACGACAATTATCTTTCAAGCTAAAGAGCTTGGATATAACTTCATGGCATTTCTGTCAGTTATGCCCAGCCTCCCTCTCTGCCTTCCACTTGGCTATGTGGGTTGTCTCTGTAATACCCCTAGGTTCATAGATTTCACTGAGAAGTAAGGCTGGAAGGGACAGGGAGAAAGACCTGAAATAGTGTTTTGTATGTGGATTGTTCTTTGTGGGGATGCCGTCAGGCTTTTTATGCATTATATATATCAGTTCTCTGAAGACTAATGTTCAAATTTAATGTAAAAAATTAATGATTCATTTACTTGTGATTATGTTTTCCTCTCCAGCTTGAAACAGTCATACCAGATCCATTGCCCTGTCAACCCAAATCCAAGACAACTTTAAATTTAAGACAACCCCCCAATAATTAGGTTCTGTACGTAGAAAATTTATAATTTTGTTATAATTTTCCATGTGTATAATTTAATTATTGCAGAGTTGTCTTAAATTCATCCTTCCAACCACTGAATTGGGGAAAGTAGCAACAGAGAGGCAGGTTTGGGGGTGGGGGGAGGAGGCAGGTGGCCTGCATCTTGCCTCCTATTGCCTGTCCCACTCACCACCACTTGCCCACCCAATTGCCTGCAACCCCCCAGCACTCTGCCGTAGTGCCTGTGTTCCCTGCTGTCTCTCCTCCCCTCTCCCCACCATGCCTGTACCCCTGTGGTGCCTGTCAGCTTCAGCCCCCTCCAATTCTGGTGGTGCCTCTGCCCCCTACTTCCTTTACCCCCTACATCACTTGGGCCCCTTCTGCTACTTATCCTCAGTCAGGGCTCTGGGTCCAGTCTCTGCCTGGCCAACGAGCAGTGGTTGTAACAGCTCCAGGCCTGACCCTGGGACTGGCTTGGAGTTGGAGCTGCTGCTGGGCTGTGTAGGGCCCAGACTCAGTGTGCTCGGTGCCCTAAGTTAGGTGGGGCCAGAGGCACAACTGAGGGTAAGCAAGGAGGCAGAGATGGCAGGTTGAGCCATAACTCTCAATTCCAACCTGGGTTGTAGCCAAAGCTACAGCTGAAGCTGTAGCAGCTGCCTGTCTTCCCACATATTCTTGAATCCAAGACTATGGGCTTTTTTCCCCATGCTGAATGGAGGAAATAAAATTCATCTTGGATTTGAAGATGTAATCACAAAATTAGAGATCAGTTGTATGTAGTTCCAGTGCTTCTTGTTCTCTTGTCTGCCAGAAGGAAATCCAATGAAAATATTGATTCTCTAATGCACTGGTTACCAACCGGTTGATTGGGGTTGACCGGTGAATCCCAGAGCCTCTTGAAATAGATCCTGGACTGGGGGCTGAGCGTGCGTGTGCATGTGCGCACCACCCCGCCAAGTCTAGCAGGTCAGTCAGTGGGGGAGGGAAGGGGTGGAGGCCTGGTGGGCATGTGTAGCAGGGCTTAGAGCACAAAACCCAGCCTGCAGCTGCAGCTGGGGCGGGGGATGGAGCTACAAATGGCTCATTCGGGGAGGGGAAGGGCATGCAGCCCGGGAAGACATGGGGGGGGCGGGGGGGATATGGGGCTGGCTGGGGCCAGGGCAGTGGCAGGCCCAGACTGTTCCCAGCCGGGTTGCGCTTAGACTGGGCAGCTGCCTCAGTGGTTCTGGGAGCAAGGCGTTCCCACTGGGCCTGGCCTGTGCTGCACTTGGTGTCGGTGCTGGGAGCGGGGATTGGGAGGGCTATGCCTCCTCCCCCCACTTTGGC